GGGGGAGGGGTGTTTTTTATGCGTTTTGTGTTGTGTAATAACATTACAAAACGCGTATTGTCACGGGGTTGTCTGTGTGTGTATGTGTGTGTGTGTGTGTCGCACATTTTGTCCAACACTTTCAACTCGGGAACCACGAAAGCTAGCCGGCTGAAATTTTGGTATAGTGTTTGTCTCGAGAACTACGGGGTCTAGGAAGCTGAAATTTTAGGGTAATGACCCTCTGCCCATGATCAACCTTGTCCATTCAAATTCAGCGTTCCTGGGCTCTTGAGTATTACCTACGGCCTCGTGAAAATTTTGGCGGGTAAACTACTAACTCACGGAAAGATATTCACCCTTCAAGGTTTCAAATTTAGCTTTCATGCGCTGGTGCGTGAAACTTTTAACTATTTTCCAGTGTTTAAACTATTTTTGCATAGACTGAAGTACAAAGCAGTGGAAATCATTAATGGGCAGTCGTTCGATGGGCTGAACTGCACAAAACATATGATCGCATTGGCTAGTCTGGTGCGCGTTGCTATTTATTTTGTTTGTAATTTCCCAGTTGCGATTAGAAAATGCGGATTAAGTAGTGATTAAAACAGTCGTAACTGACAACTAATTACAAAGTTAATTATTAGTTTACAAAGTATTTGTCGAATTGTTTTTCGCCCTCTCTGTGCAAGCATCATAGGCGATCCAGGAGAGGCTTCGGGGGAGGGGCGACGGGTGGTGGGGAGGAGACTTGAGAAGGGGCGGGGCGACGGGCATGCGGGATGAGGGGGCCCCCCCACTCTGGAACTATGCAAAAACTGGGAATAGAATTGTAACACTGCTGCTACTTCGAGTTACATTAGTTTTATTAATGAACAGACCCAGACTTTTGCAGCACTAGTACCTATGCCACTGGCCCGCCCCTTTCTTAGCTCCGTCTCCGTGTGCAAGTGATATAGTCCATTAAGTCGTATACATTTCTTACCGTCCAACTGTGGTAACAGTAAGAAATGTATACGACTTAATGGACAAATATTTCAATACTCTCATTCCCTTTTTATGCGTTTTTTGTAGCAATGCAATGCCAAAAACGCATATTGACGAGAGGTTGTCTGTTTGTCCGTGTGTCCCTGTGTCTGTGTGCGCGTTTGTCACGCACTTTCATCTCAGGACTTATAAAAGTTGCGAGGCTGAAATTTCGGGAACTTCATCTACATGCACCTACTGCCCCCAGTCCCTAAAATGGGCGCCAAAACCCCGCGTGGTACCCGCGTGTGGGCCCCCCAAAGTTTTTTTGGGGCCAGTTCATAACTCGAGGACCTGAGAAGCTGGAACGCTGAAAACTTGGGATTATGTTCCCCGCCCAACCGGGTATTAGCGAGTTCAAACCCAACCCCCGGGTAAGCGTGGTACCCGCGTACGAGCCCGCCAAAATTTTTTTCGGGTAAATTCATAATTCGGGGATCTGAGAAGCTAGAAGGCTGAAATCTTGGGGGGCCACGGAAGCTAGAAAGCCGAAATTTTAAGGGGATGTTTCTTGACAGTTCTGGCGGCCAGTCTTAATTTGTTTAGCTAAAAGCATCTGCCGAAAAAACCGGTGCCGGTAGCAACAAAAACTGCGGATAACCATGCGAAAAACGCATCTTCGCACGGGCAGCCCGTGTGTTGGCCAATTATTTCCACTTCGTTTTCCTTACCTTCTTTTTCCATTTCATCATATTCTACCTTGTCCTTTAATAGAAATTGTAGGAGTGTAAACCGTCGATATCTGTACGAACGGACAGAAGATTGGAGGAGGAGGAGGGATGCTTGGAATCATTTGTGTATTTGCATGTGTAATCTGACCAAGCAGTGGAGAGAAGCGCCCCGATAGTCGAATAATTCTAAGAATTTAAAGAAAAAATAAAAAATCCAGAATTCTCGGCATTTCGGCTTCGCATCTAATAAACAGGCCTGTATTTTTGCTGTAATTTGGTAAGTTTCCATTTATTTGTTTTAAGTTTTGTTGTATAACCTATGCATGTATAATCTGGCCTGTACATTAATTTGTCACCAAGTAGTACGATGAAATTGAAGCGGTGGATAGGAGGAGTGGGGGGTGG